CCTTAAACCACCATCCCCTGGTCTCTGCCTTCCAGGTAGCTAGCATTGTAGGCTTGAGCCGCTGTGTCAAACTCTAGTTTGAATCTAATTCTGGATAAACTAGAAGATGTGGTTGAGGTTCTCACAGGCCAATAACAATTACGGAGGTAGCTGAAAATCAGTATGTACTTGTCATTTACTTCTTTGTATCCATTTTAGGATACAAAACCAGAAAAGTATACAGGAGAGATGAAGTACAAAAGAGCTTATAGATGACAGGCATCTTGGCTTGTGTTCTTCATGGAGTCAGTTTTAATGTGTGGCATAGCATAGGAACTTAGCAAAACACCTTCTCCAGTAAACTGGACTGACCTGATTCTATGCTGAAGGCAGTATATAAGAGGAGCCCTGAGACCCTTAAAGTTTTCTCTTCACCGAAGCAGCTGCTGGTGGCTCACACCTGTAAACTGAGCTACTCAGGAGGCTGAGATCTGAGGATCACAGTCCCAAGCCAGCCTGGGTAGGAAAGTTCCATTTCACCACCAACAAGTTGGAAGTGGAGCTGTGGGTTCAATTGGTAGAGCATTAGCCTTGAGCACAAACGCTCAGGGACAGCGCCCAGGCCTTGAATTCAAGTTCCAGGATTGGCACAAAAGTACATAAATAAATATAATAAAAGAAAAGATTTCATTGAGAAACAAGTTATCCTTGCCATCTTCCTATGGCCCCTTCTACCGGAAGACTAACAGAACAATAGTGCAGGCCCAGAGCATTGTTCTTATTACTATGAATAACCGTCCTTATTGAGAACCAGAGGTCTGTTAGATGCTGTCCAGAGCCTGTGTCATTGTCTAGAATTAGACACTGTGGTGGAATGGTCGTACAATCTCATCTTGGCAGGCTTGGTGAAACCCTGTAAACCAAGGGGGAGAGGCATGAACAAGTAGAGTGATGGCCTCTTGGACACCTTCAGTCCTGCTTAGCCAGGCAGAAGGAAGGAAAGCCTGCTGGCTTGTCTTCCTGGTGTTCTGCACACCATTCCTCAGGGCCTGTGCGTGTGCGCTGGGTTTGCTCTTGTTCTCTTCTGTAAGGACCAGCCTCAATCCGGGTAGGATTTGCTGTTTTGCATGACCTCAATGCTATCCTTCACCCATTGTTTGTATAAAATCCACACCACCAGATGTGAAATCATAGGAAGACTCTTACATCTAACGAACCAGCAAAAAGCTAGAAGTAGAGCTGTGGCTCAAATGGTAGAGCATCAGCCTTGAGTGAAAAAACTAAGGGTCAACACAAGGCCCTGAATTCAAGCCCCAGGACTGGCAAACGTGCGTGCACACACACACAATAAATGTCTATGAAACTGAACCGAAATATTACTTGCACGGTCTTTTCCCCAGCACTCCATACAGTGCAATGCACAGTAAGGAAGTGGGTGGCTCACACCTGTAATTCTAGCTAATCAGGAGGCTGAGATCTAAAGACCAGGGCTAAGGCAAGCCTGGGCAGGAAAGTCTGTGAGACTCTTATCCCTCCCCCATACACCAAGTATTCTCTTAGTTGCATAAAAGCTGACCCTGGGTGTTATTACCCAACAGCTGGATCTCATCTGATGCCACCCAGTGCCCCAGGGGTAGCAGTTGATGAAGTTCCAGGAGCTGAGACCTAAGAACTGATGAACCCCCACCCCAGATGGGGAACTGGGATAAAGCCCCAGTTCTATTCTGCTCTCTATTAATCTTTGTTTCTTTAACCAAGTCATCTTTTTTGGATGTTTTCTCCTCTGCAAAACAAGCAATAATAATTACCACACAGCAATAAAAACTCCAGTCAGCAATAAAAATCAGATGTCTGTAATTCCAGAGGTATTCAGTGTGTGTGTGTGTGTGTGTGTGTGTGTGTGTGTGTGTGTGTGTGTGTGTGTGCTGGTACAAGGGCTTGAACTTGTGCTGTTTCTTGGGCTTTTCATTCAAGGCTGCTGCTCTACCATTTGAGTAATACTTCCACTTCTGGTTTTTTGCTGGTAAACTGGAAATAAAAGTCTCTCAGGTCTGCCTAGCTTCGAACCAAGATCCTCAAATCTCAGCTTCTTGAGTAGCTGGCTCATGCCTCTAGCATGAGCCATGGACAGCCAGCGGAACTTCCTTCATCTAAACACATATCACATTATATTGAGATCATGTATTTAACTTCTCCCCTCAAAGGAAAAAAAAGAAGCAATTAAACCGAGTAAAGGTCTTGTCTCTCTCCCTTCCTGCCACACCCCCTACTGCTAGCATGATGCCTGGTACCTTATAATCACCCCCAACACCTTATTAAATCAATACATGAGGAAGTGACACTGTGACTCAAGTGGTAGAGCGTCAGATTTGAGCAAAAAGCTGAGCAAAAGTACAAGGCCCTGGGTTCAAGTCCCAGGACTAGTGCACACAAATGCGTGCTCTCTCTCTCTCTCTCTCTCACCTACACACACACACACACACACACACACACACACACACACACACACACATAACTGGTAGCCTGCCAGGGAAGATTATAACTAAGGCACAAGGAAATTACCACTGTATCTTAATTTTTCATGGCACCAGAATGGTTCCTCCTTCATGTTCTTCCAGCCAAGAAATCTACAAAGGGCTTTACATGCTATACACCCCTTATAATAGCTGAGCAACCTCTTACATGTTTTTTTTTTTGGGGGGGGGTCCGGTCGTGGGGCCTGAACTCTGGGCCTGGACACTGTCCCTCAGCTCTTCAGCTCAAGGCTAGCACTCTACCACTTGAGCCACAGTGCCACTTGAGGTTTTTTTTCTTTTTGCTTATGTGGTGCTGGGGAATCAAACCCAGGGCCTCATGCATGCAAGGCAAGTGATCTACCACTGAGCCACCTTCCCAGCCCCTCTTACATGTTTTTTTTGAGGTTGTGGGGAGCCCAAGGAAAACCAGCTTTAGCCATAGATCTTTCATGATCAGAATTGAGCAACTGGTATTTTAATTGAGCAGCTGGCTGTGATGGAAGGTCAGTGGGAAGTCATAAAGGAAAGATCTTCCATTCTGTTTCTTCTGCCAGGGTCCTGGGGGTTGTGTCTCATCCCCACATCTCCTCAGCTCATTTCTACTGTTCCTAAGGATACCTTCCTCCTGTTTACCTATTTTTCCAAGGTGCTTCTTTCTTGCTGGGGGTCTATGGCTCACACCAGTAATCCTACTCAGGAGGTTGAGATGTGAGACTCACCATTCGGAGCCAGCCTGGGAAGGAAAGTCTGGGAGAATCTGACCTTCATTTGAACTACCAAAAAGCCAGAAGTGGAGATGGGGCTCAGGTGGTAGAGTGTGGCCAGGCTTGAATAAAAAAGCTGAGGGAGGGCTGGGAAGGTGGCTCAGTGGTAGAGTGCTTGCCTTGCATGCATGAGGCCCTGGGTTCGATTCCTCAGCACCACATAAGCAAAAAGAAAAAGCCGGAAGTGGTGCTATGGCTCAAGTGGTACAGCACTAGCCTTGAACTGAAGAGCTGAGGGAAAGTGCCCAGGCCCTGAGTTCAGGCCCTAGGACTGGGAAAAGGAAACAACAACAAAAACCCAAACCCCAAGATGCTCCTTTCTTGAATCTGTACTAGTCTCCTCGCAGGTGGGATTGTTTGACCACAAGCAAGGCAGGCAGCATCCAAGCCTCATGGCAGACCAGAGTGTCACATTCTTTGTTTGGAGTTACTTTTATACTCCTCTGGGGACTTGGAAAAGGATGAATGGGGGGTGGGGGGAGGATCATGGGAAAGGTCTTCAGGGAGTAAGCGTGAAAAATTATCCCCAGTCCTGGAACAATATAATCTCTCTCTTCCTTTTAATTTCCATTTCTAATTGCTTCTCTTTTTCCCCCTTTGCTTTTCCCCCTGCCCCTTCCTTCTTTCTAATGCACTTTATTCTGGCAGGCATGTACTTCCCTTTTTCCTTTTCCTGCATCCATTCTTTCCTGTTAGTAAAGGCTACCTTTTATTCCATTTTTTTTTTAAATGTGGAGCTTGGTGCTCAGTGCTCTTTCTCTATCACCTCAAAGCACTCTGAGTTAACACCAGATACCACCTGTAATCCTAGTTTACTCAGGAGGCTGAGATCTGAGGGTTGAGGTTTGAAGCCAGCCTAAGCGTGAAAGTCTGTGAAACTCTCATTTCCAATTAACCACCAAAAAGCTGGAAGTGGAGGTGTGGCTCAAGTGGTAGAGTGCCAGCATTGAGGGGAAAAGCCAATCAAGAACACAAAGCCCTAAGTTCAATTCCCCCCACCCCACATATATGTAAAGCACTTGGAGCTAAATAATAGTTGCTTCATCCTTTTTTTTTTTCCAGATAAGAGCAGCAAAATACCGATTTAATAATTTATTCACACTCAGAAGAATAGAAGTTCAAACTCCACTCAGTCACTTTCCATGTTTCTCTTAAGGATGATATGGGTTCTTCTACTCCATGCCCAGCTCCCCCTTGCCATTTCCACTTCCTGGTTCTCTTCTTTCTGTTCCTCCCCTCCTCTCTCTCCTCTTTGCTCTCGGATGTTCACATAGTTCAGTCACTGCCCAGTTAAAGGTGTTGAGCCCTTTATATGTATATGTATTGGCAAGAGATGACAGGCCATTATCTGATTAGCCATGTTCTCTGTGTGTGTGTGTGTGTCTGTCTGTCTGTCTGAGGGCTTGACTCACAGCCTCAGCAATGCCCTTACACTTTTGCCCCTTAAGGCTGTTGGCTCTACCACTTGAGCCACACCTCTGCTTCTGCCTTTTTGCTGGTTCACGGGAGATGAGCGTCTTACAGACTTTTCTGCCTGGGCTTGGTCTGAGCCATGACCCCCAGATCTCAGGCCCCCCGAGGAATGTGGGGTGACGGGTGTGAGCCACCAGGGCTTTTTTTTTTTTTTAGCTGGGGGAGAAGTGTGAGGGCTCTGGGGTGCACTTGACCTTGAGGCGCCACCTTGTTCAGTAGCACGGTGCAGACTCAGCCCTGTTTCTCTCCCTGTCTCCCGCCCTTGCAGAGGCGCCGGCCCCGGACCCCGGGCCCCCGCGGCGCCATGGGGGACTGGAGCTTCCTGGGGAACGTCCTGGAGGAGGTGCATAAGCACTCGACGGTGATCGGCAAGGTGTGGCTGACGGTGCTGTTCATCTTCCGCATGCTGGTGCTGGGCACGGCGGCCGAGTCGTCGTGGGGGGACGAGCAGGCCGACTTCCGCTGCGATACCCTGCAGCCCGGCTGTCAGAACGTGTGCTACGACCAGGCGTTCCCCATCTCGCACATCCGCTACTGGGTGCTGCAGATCATCTTCGTGTCCACGCCGTCGCTCGTGTACATGGGCCACGCGGTGCACACGGTGCGGAGGCAGGAGAAGCGGAGGCTGCGGGAGGCCGAGGCCGAGCGCGCCGGCGGCGGCGGCGGCGAGTGCCCCAAGGCCGAGCCGCTCTGCTGGGAGGACGCCAGCGGCAAGGTCATCCTCAAGGGCAGCCTGCTGCACACCTACGCATGCGCCATCGTGCTGCGCACCGCCTTGGAGGTGGCCTTCCTGGTGGGCCAGTACCTGCTCTACGGGATCTTTCTGGAAACGCTGCACGTGTGCCGCCGCAGCCCGTGTCCCCACCCGGTCAACTGCTACGTGTCCCGGCCCACGGAGAAGAACGTCTTCATCGTCTTCATGCTGGCCGTGGCCGCGCTCTCGCTCTTCCTCAGCCTGGCCGAGCTCTACCACCTGGGCTGGAAGAAGATCCGGAAGCGGTTTGCGGGATCGAAGCCCGTCCCGGCCGGGCTCCCCGATCCCCGGCCCGGCCCGAGCTGCACCCCGCCGCCGGACTTCCACCAGTGCCTGCGCGGCGGCCCCGGCGGCGGCGGCGACTTCTTCGGCCCCTTCTCCCCGGGCGGCGCCGTCGTGCCCCCGCGACCGGACGCGGACGCCTCCGCCCCGGCCGCCGGCACCGCCCCCCGCCCCCCCGCCGAGCCGGGCCGGGGCCCCGAGCCCGCCCCCCCGGAAGGCTTCATCCACCTGCGCTACGGCAGCGCGAAGCCCGGGCTGTCCGGCCACGCCCCCTCGCCGGGACCCCGCCCACTGCACAGTTACCATAGCGACAAGCGGCGTCTCAGCAAGGCCAGCAGCAAGGCCCGATCGGATGACCTGTCGGTGTGACCCCTCCCTCCCTTTCTCTCCCCCCCCCCCCACGCACATGGGATGGGGGCGGCTATGACCAGAGGGGAACCGAGGAGGGTCAGAGAAGAAAAGAGGTGCCCTCCCCCTCTGACTCCCTCCTCCCGTTCTCAAGCTCACTGCTGTGGTGGTCCTGGGTGCTAGGTCCTTGACAGGGTGTCTTCACTCTAGAAGGTCTAACCCCAGCTTCCTCTCCCCACATTCGGACTCGCCTTTCAGAATCAGCTAGAGGAAGGGAAGGGAGTCATAGCAAAATCTGGAACAGGAAAAGGGGCCACAATACCAGAATACCAAGCTAGAGGCACGTGGCTTCCGTATGTAATCCCAGCCACTCAGGATGCTGAAATCCAAGCATCATGATGCACAGCCAGCTTGGGCAGACACATTTGAGAGACTCTTATCTCCAAGGAACCGGCAAAAACAAACCCAAAAGTGGAGGTGTGGCTCAAGTAGTAGAGTGTCAGCCTTGAGCAAAAAAAAAAAAAAAAAAGCCAATCAAGAGCATGAGGCCCTGAGTTCAAGCCCCAGTAGCTGGCATCCTCAGAACTTGACCAGCAGTCTACACTTTACAAGGGCATTGGTATGTATCTTTGGCAAATGTCTTGGTAATGACACAGCCTTTTCTTCTGCCCGGATGGACACTCAGCCAACGAAGGTGGCCGCCTACTCCAGGAGTGGCTGCACACTGGCAATCTTGCTACCTCCGCCATCCTGTGGCTTCTGTGCCAGGAGAGATGCCATATTGACTGTTCATCAATGTCTCTCCAAAGACCTTACCACCAGAATGCCCTCCCTCCCATCCTCACCAGATCACTGGTCACCAAAGCTGTTGGAATTTCCCCCAGGGACTTACACAGACAGACAGCATTGTGTTGCTCAGATTCCCCTAAGGAAAAATAATTCTGCTGTGATGTAAAAATTAAAAGGAGAAAAGACACTGGAAAGCTGGCTTCCCCTTCTATTTATTTCTCTTACTGATTGCCAACTGAGAATGCCAAGGAGGGGGTGGTAATGCCAGCTAGTCGCAATCCTTTCTCTGCCCCCCTCTCTCCCTCCCTCTCTCCCTCCCTCCCCCAGAAGCATGAAAGCAGGAAGGCAATCTCTAGCGTTTTTTTTTGTTTTTTGGCAAGGCCCTTATTTAAAGCACACAGAAATTTGTGTATCTCCATGGTGCCTCTGATGGGAATGCCAGGTGGGAATGCAGAAACGCTTAGCCTTCCCCAAGGACTGGCTTGGTGTCTATATTAAACGGATCCACAATGGGTGGCTGCCATTTTGGATGCCGATAAAACATGCTCAGAAATCGGCTACTGAGACTATTAAAGAAACATTCTTATACTTTAAAAAAGTGTGTGTGTGTGTGTGTGTGTGTGTGTGTGTGTGTGTGTGTGTAGAAGGGTTATTGGGGTGGTCAAGGAGAGTCCTGACCTAAGGAAACAGAGAATCTCGTGTCTTCTTGCCTACTCCAGTTGCCTGGCAGAGGTGGAGCTTTACTCTTAGTATTTACTCTTGTATGAGCATATATGAGTAGGAGTAAGAGGTAGAGGAGGGTGAAAGTTTACAAGGAAACTATCTCCACCCTACCTGACTATCTCCGGGCCCCTTTGCTGGTATTTGGAAGCTATTAGTGGGTGGAGGGAAGGGTGAAGGTAGAGATATGAGAGTTCTGACTGGTTAGCCCAGATCCCAGACACATTTTTACTATGATTTAATCAAGATTTATTATCCTGGCCCAGCAGAGATGAATGGGATTAGGCCTAAAAATCCTGCTTAGGGGACAAAGATCAGAAGATCCAGGCCAGCCTGAGGGAAAAAAAATCAAGTTTTCATTTCAACCAATGTCTGGGCATGGTGCCTGTCATTTCAGTGACATGGAGAAGCAGAAATAGGAGGACTGCAGTCCAGACCAATCCAAGGAGAGTACCTGCCTAGCCAGCATGACTCCCGAGTTCAAAGTTCAGTACCACACACACAAAGAATTTTTCTGTCCTTCCACTGCTAAAGTTTTGTCCTTGTTTGGTTTGTGAAAATGGGTGTTTTTGAATTAGAGATTCTAGGAGATCAGGTCATGATGAGGTTTTTCAGGAAAGAAAAAGGAAGTTAATACGTGTAATTTGTCTTAATAAAATCTGTCTCCATATGTATCTCTCTTTTGTGTCCCTCTCATTCTGTGACTATAAAAAGATGGGAGATTGGATAGGGGAGGGGGGAGAGCTTTGGTGTCAGACAAAGGTTAAAGTACCAGCTGCTGATTTATGTCTGGATTCCAGTGTGCTATTTTATGTCTGAGATTTTTGTTTCCTTATCTGTAAATCAGGCCTAGTAAAATTTACTTCATAGGGTTGATAAGTGAGAGTCTGTATGTCAAGTGTTCACAGCCAGGTACTAGTGGCTCATGCCTATAATCTTAGCTACTCAGGAAGCTGAGATCTAAGGATTGTGGTTCAAAACCAACTTGAGCAGACAAATCCTAGAAACTCTTATCTCCAATTAACCACTAAAAAGCTGGAAGTGGAGGTGTGGCTCAAGTGGTAGAATGGTAGCCTTGAGTGAAAAAGCTAAGTAAGAACTCAAGATCCTGGGTTCAAGCCCCAGTACCAGCACAAAAGTTTGGGGGGGGAGGTGATTTTTTCACTTAAGGCTGGTGTTTTACCACTTGAGCCATACCTCCCCTTCTGGCTTTTTTGGCCAGTTCATTGGAAATAAGACTCATAAGAGTCTCACAACCTTTTCTGCTGGGCTGACTTCAAACCTCAGGTCTCAGCCTCTTGAGTAGGATTACAGGTGTAAGCCCCTAGTGCCTGAAAAAACTAATAACAAATTATTGTAGCAAACAAAAAAATGAAAGTAATTGTTCCTGTTGGTTGGTCTGTGTGGGTACATTTAATTTTCTTTGTTTAGTGAACTATTTTAATGTTATGTTATTTTTAAAATTATGATTGAGAAAAAGAAATCTATTTACATTCAATCTTTGGGGCTAAATTTGGTGTTCCCCTGGGGCTGCTGGGGAGCTGTGTCCATTTCCACAGAACTCATGCCTGGGAAACTTTTCTTGGCATCAGTTCTGACTGCCACTCTTAAATGGAACAGGGTGCAAGAGGCGCTCCCGCGGCACAGGCTCTCAGGGGTGGCAGAGGCTGCCCTGGAGGCCGATCGCCCCGGGACCCCGCCACACCTCAGTGTGGTGAGCGCCCACTCCGTGTGGGGAAGAGCCACGGGCCGAGAGAGAAAGCCACTATCTGCGTTCACAACCTTCTGCAGAAGCTGGGTAACTAGCTCCTCGGGAGGCTGAAATCTGAGGATCGAGATTCAAAGCCAGACTGGGCAGGAAAGTCCATGAGACTCTTATCTCCAATTAGCTAGCAAAAAAAAAAAAAGTGAAGATGTGGCTCAAATTGTAGAATATCAGCCTTGAGTGAACAAGGCATGTGAGAGCAAGAGGTCCTGAGTTCAAGTTCTAGTACCTCCACACATGTGTGCGTGTGCGCGTGCGCACACACACACACACACACACACACACACACACACACACACGAGAGAGAGGGAGAGAGAAAGAGAGAGGGAGAGAGAGAAGAGGAGGAAGGAGGGAAGGGAGGGAGGGCGGGAGGGAGAGAAGGACAAAAGGAAGGAGGGAAGGAAGAAGGAGGAAAGGAGGAAGTAAGTAAGGAGGGAAGGAGGGAGGGAGGGAGGGAAGGAAGAAGGAAGGAAGAAATGGAAGAAGGGAAAGAAGAAGGGGTGAGTGAGGGAGGAAGGAAGGAAAGAGGAAAGGAGGAAAGAGGGAGGGAGGGAAGGAAGAGGAAGGAAGGAAGAAATGAAGGAAGGAGGGAAGGAAGAACTAGTGAGTGAGGAGGAAAGGAGGAAGGAAGGAGGACAGAGAGAAAGAGGAAGGAAAGAGGGAAGAAGGGAAGAAGGGAGGAAGGAAGGAAGGAAGGAAGGAAGGAAGGAAGGAAGGAAGGAAGGAAGGAAGGAAGGAAGGAAAGAAGGAAGGATTCTGTTAACATCTCTAGGATTCATGGGGATTTCCAGTTGTTCTTGTGCTAGTTTCATCTACCTGGGTAGATATTTACTTCCAAGGTCCTGGACCTCCAGCATTTAAGACAACGTTGGACCAGCCCTGGAAGGTGCTAGAATGTATCTGCCAAGTAAAGCTGAAGTTTCCCTCTCTTATGTCTGCCTCTGACATTGTGCTTTGTGGCCTTACTTTCTCTACAAACTCATTTCCCACACAGCCTTTCCCTTCTTCTCCTTGTACTGCTGTATGCTGAAACCGGTGAACCGCCACCGTGGAGAACTCTTCTGAGCATGCAAGGCTGTCTGGAGCCAGAGTTTTAGGCCCAGGACCAAACTCTGGGGTTTTACCATGTCAGGTGCAGCCACCTCCCCCAAATTAAACACCTGGTGAAGGGCAGAGAAAGGCAGCCATGGGAAGACAGCCCTTTGGGGCATCTTCAGCTGTTTTCTGGGCATAGAGAAGAATAAGAGTTTTACATAGATAAAGCATGAGGGGCAGACGGGGCTGGGAAGGTGGCTCAGTGGTTGAGTGCTTGCCTAGCATGCATGAAGCCCTGGGTTCTCTTCCTCAGTACCACATACACAGAAAAAGCCAGAAGTGGTGCTGTGGCTCAAGTGGTAGAGTGCTAGCCTTGAGCACAGAGAGGCGCCAGGATCAGGGGGAAAAAGAACAAAAACAAAAAAGAATGAGGGGCAGAAAGAGATACATGTAGTTGTTCAATAGTCTCGGTCGCAGGTGTGTTCTGGTGTTTCCAGGTGGCTGGCGGCAGGCTCAGGGCTGGACAGGTGAGGGCCTATAGCTGTACGAGTTGTTGGTCCCTGGCAGGTGTCCAAGAATGATCTTGTGTGTGTGTGTGTGTGTGTGTGTGAGAGAGAGAGAGAGAGAGAGAGAGAGAGAGAGAGAGAGGGTGGGGAGCGGGGAGGTACTGGGGCTTTAACTCAGGGCCTCATGTTCTTGCTTAGCTTTTTTTTTTCCTCTCAAGTCTGGTGTTCTACCACTTGAGCCACAGCTCCACTTCTGGGTTTTTGGTGGTTATTTTGGAGATAAGAGTCTCAAAGACTTTCCTAGCAAAGCTGGCTTTGAACTGCAATCCTCAGATCTCCGCCTCCTAAGTAGCTAGGATGACAGGCGTGAGCCACAGGTACCTGGCTGAATGTCTCTCATTTGTTTGTCTTGCTTGTAGTTATTTATGGGTCCAAGTGAGGAGTCTGATTCCCAGCAACAGTAACTATAAAGCTCCTATGATAGGACCAGTCTCCAGTGCAGGAAGAGAGAGGAGAGGTCCTGAGTTCAAGACCTAATACAGGTACACACCAAGGCACTGTGGCTAACTTGTGACTCTTCCTCTC